AATTAAATGAACTAGAAATTCCGAAAGAAGTGGAAAGGGGTATGGAGATAAGTGTAGATGAAATAATGAAAGCAATGAAAAGCATGAAAGCAGGTAAGGCAGCTGGATATGATAGAGTATCACTCGAGATGCTAAGGGCTGGAGAGGGAGTGATGGCAGGCCTGCTGTACACCTTATTTAATTTATGTTGGGAATTAAAACGGATACCGGATGACTGGTGTAAAGCAGTTATACTACCAATATATAAAGGAAAAGGGTCACAGCAGGACTGCAAAAACTACCGTGGAATCAGCTTGCTTAGTATTGTGGGTAAACTGTATGCTAAGGTGTTAATTGAAAGAGTTATGAAAGAAACTGATGGAAAAATTTGGGATGTGCAAGCGGGTTTTAGAAAGGGAATGGGGTGTACAGATCAAGTATTTTCCATGCGCATGATTGCGGAGAAGTTTTTGGCCAAAAACCAGAAAGTTTTTTGTGCGTTCATGGACTTGGAAAAGGCTTATGACAGAGTGGACAGGAATGTGTTATGGCAAACACTGAACTCATATGGGTTGAGCGCTGGTTTGATACAGGCATTAAGGTCTCTTTATAGGGACTCTAATGCTTGTGTCAGGATCAATGGGGTCTACTCGGACTGGTTTGGCATCCAAAAAGGTGTCAGACAGGGCTGTGTAGCTTCCCCTTGGCTGTTCAACCTATTTATGGACAGGTGTTTGCAAACTTTGAAAGATGAAGAATGTGGGTTAAGAATGGACGAGTTAACCGTCAAATGCCTTTTGTACGCCGATGATCAAGTCATATTTGCGTCATCGGCGTCTGAGTTGCAAATGATGGTTACATTAATGAACTGAGAATTAAAAGAAAGGGGTATGAAAGTGAACGCAAGTAAGACGAAAGTGATGGTTTTTGAAAGAGAAGAAAGCAAAACGGTATGTGAAATAAGAATAGAAGGAGAGTTAATTGAGCAAGTGGATGAGTTTGTGTATTTGGGATGTGTATTTAGCAGAGATGGTAGATATGATAGGGATAGAGAACGACGAGTAAATGTAGGGAATAGAGTAAATGGGGCACTACACTCTATTATGAAGAACCAGAATGTGTCAAAAAAGGCACGTATGGTAATTCATAATGCTGTCTTAGTCCCTACTTTAATGTATGGTAGTGAAAGCTGGATGTGGCAGAAGAAGCACGAAAGTAGAATAAATGCTGTAGAAATGCGGTCTTTAAGGAGTATGCTAGGGTTGAATCTGAATGACAGGGTGAGAAATTGCATGATAAGAGATAAATGTGGTATGCAAGATGATGTTGTGACCAGGATTAAGAAAGGGGTGCTTCGGTGGTTTGGTCATGTAGAAAAAATGAATGAGGAAAGAGTGACAAAGCAAATTTATATGAACGGCCGAGTCGGGAAGGGACGCCCTAGAAAAATGTTTATCGACCAAATTGGCGATATTTTGAAAAGGGGCCACGTTAGAAGTACCCTTAACCGACGAGCATGTATGCATAGATATATGGATGTAAAGGAGGCGAAAGAGGTATGTCAGGATCGTGCCAAATGGAAGTCCGTAGTCTCTGCCTACCCCTCTGGGTGACAGGCGTGAGTGTTTATTATGTATCAGTGCTCTAAATGTAATGTAACAATTCGAATCAAGTTAAGCAGTCTACATAGAAAACAAAGAAAAACAAACGCTTCGAAACTGAGGACGTGAACGGGCTGAAACAAAGTCGACGCAATTTTTAGCAGTTTTATTCCATTTGGCGATAAGGGCGCGATAAAAAACCTTTTGCCGATAAACGGAGGGTAGTTTAGTGAAAGTTAAACTCGTTTTAAGTACACTTATCGCGGTAATTAATATTTTTATGGAGTCGCCGCGGCCGGTAGAATTGTTAAAATTCGTCCCCAGGCTGCGGTATATCGTATTTTTTGTTGATTAATTCAACGCGGTGGTCGTATCATTTATTTGAGAAATTGGGGCATTTTTTACCTTAGCAAACGTTATAATTAATTAAGTAAAAAAAAAAATAAGGAACACGCGTAACATGGCAACATTAAAGTGGAAGGTACATGTAACGTTTGTTTTTTATAAAATTAATTAAGCAAGCGAGTTAAATTATTAAATATTATGTACAAAACGCTTGCTACAAAACACGGATTTAAAATGGATACCATAGACTAGTTGTTAGTTTTCACTAGTGATTTAATTATATCTAGAAGTTTTGGGTGCTTAAAAATATCGTTGTTTTTTTCGGTCATTCGAAACTTTAATGGACAATAGAATTATACGTCTTTCTATTATGATACCTGGCCGATCGAAAGCACTAGGCGCTAGAAAAAAATTTTTGGAAATAAAAAGTCTATCTACAATATACAAAAGTGATAAAATAAAAATTTTTGTACAACCGAATTTAATATAAATAAAATGAGAAAGAGCACATCAACGTATTTGAAGTCAAATAAGTATGCATTATTAAGGATAACTCAAAAACTACTGGTCAGATGTTGATCAAATTTACGTGGGACCACACGAAAAGCACCAGATTTCAAATTAAGAAAAAAAAATCAACGAAATCAGATCAACTAGAAAAAGGTTCTGAGGTAATACCTATTGAAGACGCTTAAAAATTTCATTCAAATGAATAGATGTGTTTCCGGGAAACCAGATATTAAATATACATTCTTATACGTGGTAGAGACATGCTGTAGTTATATGAGTAGTATAGTTGTAGCACGAATGGGTAGGCTCGACCGGGGGAGGATCACGCTCTTACAGAATACCAGCGTAAAATAGTAGCTTAATGCTGCTGTGTTTCGTATGGTGAGTGTAGAGAACCGGAGACCCTTTTTATTGGAAACGAGGCATTCCATCTTAGTTGTCACGGGTAGTAACGCATCTGCATTTCGATTTGTAATCGAGGATAGATGTAGATGTCTATGGGCCGCAGCAACCACTTACCATCAGGTGGACTGTGTGCTCGTTTGTCACCCTATCCTATAAAAACATATTGTTGTGTAGTATCTTTGTATAGTATATACAAGAATTGTTTAAGTAAAGTATGGGATTGAGTAAACACTTCTTGTGTTTTTAATCATATATTCGTTACAGTCAAAAGTCAACTGAACGTAGGCCTCCCCTTAAGATTTTAGCATATGATGGAGTATATTTTCCACAGCAATGCTTAGCGGGCCGATTTGCTAACTGCATCTTTTCTTTATTGTTATTAGCAAGAAGCTCTCTCTTCTTTTTTTCCTTGTGTATTTTCTTACACGGCCACTACTCGGTACTATAATAATAAATAATAATAATAAAACATTTATTCATTACCACCAATAAAGATACAGTGAGCAGTACCCATAGAAATAACCAAAATTACATAGTGTAGTAACGAATGACGAAATCTAGCTCAACATAAATGTTGTAGTTGCCTACAACGCTGTTATTCTGCCAGCGCCCAACAAATGAACAGTACAAGACAGTACGCGCGCATCCCTGCTTATATTACATTTAATCACAACTGCTCATATTAGGGTACATGCCGTGGTTTCCCAAGTATAAACGAGTATTAGCCAGTTCGAATTAGTAGTTAAGAAATATTTTTAATTATAATAAAAATAATTCCATAAAATTTATATTTTAATAATTATTGCAACAATACTACTAATAGTAACAAACAAAGTAATAAGTAATATTTATTTTACTGAGTCTAACTTATTTGAGCTTATAAGTCTACTACCGCCTACTGGGAATGTTTATTTATTTTATTTATAAGACGACCCTGTAATTTAGTAAAAATAATTCGATTATGACAGTAATTGTTTGCTTTAATAAAAAATAAAAATATAAATTTCTTTGCAACCTTCCGCCAAACAAATGCAATGATGTGTCTTACCTGGATTGAAGAGCACCTCCCGCCCTCCCTCAATTGCATGCACTAACTCCGTCACCACTAATCCCAGCACCACTACTCCCAACACTACTATTCCAGGCAAGACACACCATCGACGATAATACGACACGTGTTTCGCCTCTACACGAGGCATCTTCAGGTAATGTAGACTCTACGGCGGCTGACCGCTAAGTCTTAGCTAAATGCGATTAGTGGTGACGGAGTTAGTGCACGCAATTGAGGGAGGGCGGGAGGTGCTCTTCAATCCAGGTAAGACACATCATTGTATTTGTTTGGCGGAAGGTTGCGAAGAAATTTTTATTTTAAGCTATTGCATAGCTTCTATCGCGGGCCTTGAGCGCGGGGACCGAATCCAGAAATTCCGTAACGAAAAAACCTCACGCTCCCCACTCCGACGGGCACGGAGGTGTGGCTTGAAGGCCGTGCATTGTCTAACGTCGTTTCTTTTCGGCAGTCTGCGACACGGTGTTTGTGTGCGTGCAACTAGACGTATTGTACGACTCTACGAAGCTCGAACGAATCGAGACGAGCTGCTCCGAAATCGGACGAATACAAAAGCAGCTGTTTATGAGAAAGTATATAGGTGTATAGGTATTTATGTACAACAGTGAATAGCTGTACTTGTAAAATTTGTGTATAAAGTGTTTTGAATATGAATGAACAAAGTGCATTTATTATTTATTTATTTAATAAAAGAAAAAAATTTGTTTTTTTCTTATCGGTCACCACGCTCAAAAAAAAATATAAAAAGAAATACTGCATAAATAAAATAAATAAATAATTATAATTGCATAAGTTGATACAAAATGCTATGCAATAGCTTTACCGCGACAGTCCCCGAGTGCCACACGTCTTTTTTTATTATAATGGATTTCCGCAAAGTAACGCCTGATTCTATCAATTGTTTGCTTAGTAAGTAACGTCTATAATTCCTTTCCTAAGTCGTAGTGGTGGTGGTACTACATATGGTATGAAGCTGGTTAATAGTTTCTGGCCACTATGGCCTAAGACACCTTCTTTTAAAAAAAATGTGTGCGAAATATAAACATAAAGAATAAAATTTTATTTAGAAATGATATCGATTCAGTACCAACCTGATGGAAGCCGAGGTAGCTTTCTATGCTATGCGTCGCGAAGAAAACTTCCCCTTCGCATGTCAAGATCATCAGAAAACCGTTGAGAGCCTGAAAAATAAAAGCTTAACATCAACGATTGTGGCAATTGACATAACATCAACGCATTGGCAAGCGTTTCCACATCTCAAATCGTGGATCTTGAAGAAGCTTGGTCATAATGTATCCTTTCCACAGATCTTGTTACTAACAGAAAGTTGTTACTGTAAACTTGCTATAAACCAAAATATAATCGCCTGCGCATTGCCAATGCGAATTGACGGATTTCATCATCATCATCATCATTACAGCCCTTCACAAGTCCACTGCTGAACATAGGCCTCCCCCAAGTAATGCCACAAAGCACGGTCCTGAGCCACCTGCATCCATCGACTTCCTGCATGTCTTACCAGGTCGTCACTCCATCTAGTGGGGGGTCGCCCTACACTACGCCTACCGGTACGAGGCTGCCACTCGAGAACCTTTCTAGTCCCCATCGGTTATCGGCTCTTCGAGATATATGACCGGCCCATTGCCACTTCAGCTTACTAATCCGTTGGGCTATGTCGGTCACTCCGGTTTTACTGCGGATATCCTCATTTCTGAGTCTATCACGCAGAGAAACTCCCAGCATAGCCCTCTCCATAGTTTGCTGAGCGACCTTGAGCGTCCTCATACGGCCAGCAGTGAAGGACCACGTCTCAGATCCGTAAGTCATCACTGGCAACACGCACTGGTTATATACTTTAGTTTTCAGACATTGAGGTATACCTGACGAGAAGATGTGTCGTAATTTCCCGAACGCTGCCCAGCCGAGTTGAATCCGTCGATTGACCTCTCGGTCGAAGTTGGACTTACCTAGTCGGACTATTTGTCCCAGGTAAACGTACTCGTCAACAACTTCGAGCATAGTGCTCCCAACAACTACCGGCATAGGTGTGACATGGACATTAAACATGATCTTTGTTTTGTCCATGTTCATCTTAAGACCTATTCGTTGGGAGACACCATTGAGGTCATTGAGCATAGTGCTAAGGTCCTCCAGCGATTCTGCCACAAGGACTATATCGTCGGCAAATCGAAGGTTAGTGATGTACTCGCCATTGATGTTAAAACCGTATCCTTTCGAGTCCAGTAGCTTGAAAACGTCTTCCAACGCAGCGGTGAAGAGTTTCGGGGATATAACATCACCCTGTCTTACACCTCTCTGCAGTTGGATAGGTTTCGAATTTTAAATTAATTCAATTTTAATTTTAAATTTGACGGATTTATATTATTTTATTTAAATGTTGCGCACATGGTTAGTAAGTTAAATAAAAAACTATTTTTTTAAATATAGAATAGGGTGACAACGAGCATATAGTCCACCCGATGGTAAGTGGATGATGTGTCACATACATTTATCAATTAAGAATCAAAATCAATTAATATCACCCCTGAGGACTAAGATGGAATGCCTCGTTTCCAGTAACACAACAGCGTTAAGCTGCTATTTTACGCTGATGTTCTGTGAGAGTGTGGTTCTACCCTACCCATTCGTGCTACAACCATAATATAATTACTGCGTGGCTTCAGCACATATAAATAAAAATTAACGTTCATAAATTTATCACCACCACTACAGCCTTATAAAGGCCACTGCTGAAGTAAGTTTCCCAAAAGAATGTCTCATAAGGGGGGTACTTGCCATAGTTGCCACGCTTGACGGTTGATGGCGGATGGTGATATGGCAATTACGGGTTTTTATTTCCAACTTATTATTACGAAGACGCTACGGCCTATTTCTTGTCTGCCAATATTTTAATGGCTATTTTAAGTTATATCAAACAAATATTTAACTTCGTTGTTAACATAATCTTTAAAATATAAAATGTGTTAAAACGTCAATTCAATATAAGTGGTTGAAAATACCGCTTAATGGCATCCACCACTTCACGGTATGAATTTTGTTACTGCTTCACAACGGAGTATGAAATCCGAACGATTTGGAAAAAAATAAAACAGAAGTTATTTTCGGGAAGTTTTCTTGAAATTTCCCAAGAAGTATGCGATTCGCGGTTGAGTTACGAGGCAAATCTTCGCTATACATAACTTACGTTTGTCCATTGACAACCGACATGAACTGAATAGATTAATTAAAATATAAAAGACAAAAAATACGTGGTTGACGTATTGTTTAAAGACATTTCAACCGTCAGAAGAACCTGATACTTCGCATTTAAAATCGGCATGGTTTACTTAATATCATCTCGCCACAGTAAATCAAAACTTCAACGATGATTTACATAACTGTACCTTAACAACAAATAACTTAACGTAATTTAATGTCAACTTATCGTACCGTGTCTGACATTGGATTCGTGCACGACGGTGAGTCGAAACGGTGAAGTATTAAATACAGGTTGGTTGGTTGCTTTTATGGCTTTAGCGGTCGCTATTGATTTATTATCGAACAAACCGCTTTAATTTATCGTCGCAGTGCAATAGTTACAAAAAAGATAAGGAACAAACTTAAATATAATAGTGAGTTTGGACTTTACTGGGGATTATTTGATAAGTGTTAACTGATCTGAAAAAGGAGTTTATGTTGGCTGGTGAAGTAAGTTCTGAAAATATCTCTACACTCCGAACCAGTGTGAGATCTTGGGAATAATAAGGAGAAGGACACTCTATTCTTGGAAGAAACCAGAACCAGAGAGAATCGAAGCGAAAACATTTGAAATAAAAGAAAATTTATCAAATTCTCCTATGTATAACATTTCACAATTATTTATACAAATCGTATCAGAAATGTCTTGGTAGCGATCAACGCATTCCCATGGCTTATTATGATCCGATCCAGATCCTTTAATTCTTTAATAATAATCCTTACTTATAGCTATAACTGTAACCCTTTTAAACAATCTTAGTTTAAATATTTTTTAAACTTAGGGATAGATAAATCGTATTTTTTAGTCTTTGTTTTATAATAATGAAGTGACTAACATACGTATTATCCACTTTATGGTCTCTGCAGCCCATGCACACCAGCTTTATACAAATAAAGCTATAGATTCGTAGTTACTTCTGCGTACTAAGGTGAAAAGCCCTAGAACTTCTAATTATGCTGGTTTTCTGTACCCTTCAGACCGAAATACAGCAGTGCAAGCTCTGCTGCTTGCTGCTGCACGCCGACGGTAAAAATAAGTACCACCCGTACCTACTCAGATGGACTCCTAGGCGGCAGTAAACACCCTGGAGCAGTGGCTTAGTGTTGAGTGGCGGCACTGAGGACCGCGAGTTCGAATTCCGCACGAAACTTTTTTTTACGTGATACAACCATGCTGCAGTTATATTAGTAGTATAGTTGTAGCTCGAATGGCTCTGCTCGACCGGGGTTTCCATCATCCATCCATTCTCTCTTAGTCCTCACGGGTGACAACGCATCCGCATTTTGATTCGTAATCGAGGATAGATGTAGATGTCTATGGGCCTTAGCAACCGCATACCATCGCGTGGACTGTGTGCTCCTTTGTCACCCTATCCTATAAGAAAAAAAAACAAGTATTTGTATGGGCCTACCAATAAATGTTCTGAGTTTGGATGTTAGTTCTTGTACAATTTATGTTTGTAAGCTGCCTCCACGATACGGGAAGAAATACTAGTAAACTTTTCCAAAAAAAGAAAGAAAATAGATAAGAGTCCCACTACCGAGTAAGTTTTAAATTCAACTCTTTAAGCAGGCTTTTGTAGCTACAAATACCGTTACCGTTATAGCCTATTAAAGTCCACTGCTGCTTCATAGGGGCAATCAATCGTGGGAGGGGGGTATTTACCATAGTTGCAACGCTTGGCAAGCGGGTTGGCAACTGCAGTTTTTAATTTTGGTCATAATTAGGAAGATGGTGCTTCTCCTGATTTGTGAAACGGCCTCTTACGACGCCCAGGGGATGACATAGGGTAGTGGATATTTTTGCACCACAACTACACGATCAGCTGGAACAGTTAATAAACTTTTATTTTTATTGTCATCGTTACCTGTAAGAACATCTCCCCGTCCGGCATGACGTGGTCATAGTGTGAGTGGTCTCGTCGGTGCACGTGGAGTTCTTCCTTCTCCTTGTGCATGACCACTGTAACAAGGAAACATGTTTTGTTAACATATCATATACCATCCATCCATTACAGTCTATAAACGTCGACTGCTGAACATAGGCCTCCCCCATAGATTGCTTCATAGGGGGGATTGTGCTATAGTTGCCAAACTTAGCAGGTGGGTTCGCAACCGCAGTTTTTTTGCTATTTAAAGTTGTTATTAGGAAGATGCTACTGTTCGTGCTGGTCACCTGTTTTGGTTTTCTTTTGTCGCCTCTTTTTACACCCTCGGGATGATATGGGATAGTGGATATTCTTACGCGTTACTACATGGTTCAAAGACCACATACCAATAAGTATATTTACATTTTGAGGTAAAATTAAGTTATAAGTTTTAAATATTAAGTTAGCAGCGTTTGCATATACGTGGTAGTTATCTTTATACTAAAGTAAAAGTAAGTCACACTACTAGACGCCTCCCCGTATTTCTGAGAGTTAATTAAGAATCGTACGTCTCAGAGGGTTTTAGGGCAAGCAAGTGTCCGTTGCGCTGCCCCAATGCGTTGTTGGTGTACTATATATTAAGAGGTTAGAGTAAGTCAGCTCAAATTCTAATTTCGCCCCCACTTCCCCGCGCGTCGTATGCTATGTACCGAAATATTTGTAATCACTAATACTGTAAGTAGAAAGGTCGTTAGACACTTATTTCATTAGGTTTATCATATTTATGCCTGTTTCTTAAAGCCAAGCCAGCCGCTTCTTATTTTTATCACGGTTATTTCCCATTTTAATTTCACGTCGTACTGTTGCGTAATGTACACAACTTCTCCCTTCAAAAGCCTAAACGATACTAACGGAACGACGGGAATCAAGCTCAAGACGCCGATAGTTTAGGTAATTTCTTTTTACAGTGAAAATAATGGTATTTAAAAAAAAGTAAATAACATAAGCAGTGCTTTATAGTTAGTTCAGTTAGTATGCAAAGTTTCATGATCTTATTTAAAGTATTTTATGAATAACAGCGGTTTATTGTTTATTTTGGAGGTAACTTTGGATTTTTTTTTCTATCGAGAAAATTTTACGAAATCGTGTTTTCGTCTAACATAATCACTAACATTAATCCTCAACTTTACCATATATTTATTTCAAAATTAATGCTGCAATATTTTCGGCATAACGAAGGATCTTGCTAAGCCATTTGAGATTATATTTCCCCTTAAGTCAAAATAAAAACAAACAAAATAATAAGGTGTGAAGCCAAGCTGCAGCTATATTAGGGTTTGTAGCACGAATGGGTCGGCTCGACCGGCGCAGGACCATGATCTCATACAATACCAGTGTAAAATAGCAGCGCAATGCTGCTGTGTTTCGTATAGTGGGTGTAGAGAACCGAAGACCCTTTTTACTGGAAACATGGCATTCCATCTTACTCCTCAGGAGTGACAATGCATCCACATTTTGATTTATAATCGAGGATAAAGGTAGATGTCTATGGGCCACAGCATCCACTTACCATCAGGTGGACGGTGTGTTCGCTTGTGTCGCCTTGATTCTATAAAAAGAAAATATTTATTTTTATTTTCTGAGACATGCAGGTTTTCTCACGATGTTTTTTTTTTCATACAACCGAGCTCGTGGTAAAATCAGTACTTAAAATTGCTATTAACAATTTCATTCATTAGTACTGGCGAAGAGTAAGCCCGGATTGCTTGCAAATTGCAAAGTTTACATCGAGTTACGCCTCTGAATTATTATCTTTTTGTAGACTAGGTAAAAAAATCCTATTACTTCATATTATGTACCAGTACTATGTACGTTAAAATCGACTTTCTCACGTTACAATACAGTTCAAAGTAAATTAATTTTATATTCTAATATGTGCATTGAAAATAGGCGTGTTTCATAACGTGACAAATCAAATTTCAGATAGGGAATCTGTGTAGGGTCAATGACGCATGAACGAAAATGTAATCTATTAATAAAGAGCTATGGTTTATTTTATTTGAAACAGACCGACTCTTCAACCACGTCCAAATAGCTACAGAATCTGTCCATGATTTTGCCTTGGCATATGGTCTTACAAAACTGGTTACTTAGCCTACGCGGATTCCAGATGTTGAGGATCATGCACCTTCCCTGTTGGACTTTATGCTGACCTCTCATCCGGACGGATATCAGATTTCCGTAGACGCCCCTTTAGGCTCCTGGGACTATTGACTTGTCCGGAGTGTGTTGCCACTCACGTAGAAATCGCAGTTGCATTCGGCAGGGTGCAATGCGACCGCGATTGGCACTACAGGTCAGCCGATTAGGATAGGATGCGGTCTTTCTTTGCATCCTACCCTTGGAGGCAGGTGTGCTTCTCGCCGGACGATCCCAACGTTGTTGCTGATTCTGTCGCTGATGTGGTACTTTAGGGTATGGAACTATTTATTCCTTCTTCTATGGTGCCCATCGGAGGCAAATCTCAGCCATGGTTTGGTCGCTCCTGTAAAACAGCATCATGCTTATAGTATAACTTTTACAGGACGACCGAGTGCTTTCCGATCGGCTCGATTCACTGGCGCTGCGAAGAGATGTTGCATCTCTTTGCATTTTCTTTCACATATACCATGGGGAGTGCTCTGAGGAATTGTTCGGATTAATCTCAGCCGCCAAATTTCGTGAACGCACTACGCGGCAAACGTCCCGATACCATCCACACCATCTGGATGCTTGGCGGTCCACCACTGTACGTTTCAAAAGGAGTTGTCTTCCGCGTACAACCTCTCTGTGGATTAGTTTACCACCGGCGATTTTTCCGGATCGATACGACCTGGGGACCTTCAAGAAAAGAGCTTACTCCTTTGTAAAGGGCCGGCAACGCATCTGCAATTCCGTTGATGTTACGGTTGATCATGGGCGGCGGTAGTCACTTAACATCAGGTGAGCCGCATGCTCGTTTGCCCCCTCTTCTATAAAAAAAGCAGGAGTGCTACCAAGCCTGGGCTGATGCATTAACATAGATGGGATGTAAACACTAGCGCTCTAAAAATGAAGTATAATTCCGCCTCCAGGTCCTTCAAAAGAGTCATTGCCAAAGCAAAGTCAGAGCACATATGCAGAATTGGCGAGAAACAAGTTCACCTTCCTTCTGGAACCTGTGCATTCTGGTCTCTCGCGAAGGCTCTCCAAAGAAATTTCTGTCAGCCATCTCTTCCATCTCTGCACATGGAGGACGACTCGCTGGCCTATGCCGCAAAGGGGAAAGCCTTTTAGATCAGAGCATCAAGGTCGTTGTAGACGATGCAAGCTCCGATTACAAGCATATTAATACTGGTGTTCCACAAGGCTACGTGCTATCACCAACGCTGTTTCTTCTGCATATCAATGATATGTTGCAAACCTGCAACATTCATTGATATGCAGATGCCGGTGTACAGAGCACTAGTGGTGCTCTGTACACCGGTCGTGTCAATATTTCTCGGGAAAACGTCTCCAAGTACCGGGACATACTTGTGTCTGAAGTCGAGTCTTTGCTGAACAAAGTCTCGGATTGGGGCGCAGCCTATGTACGTCCCAGTCCTGGGCACAGGCCTCCGCTCATTTTTGAGAGGGTTTTTTTAGGGCAAGGAATTGTCCGCCGCACTGCCCCAATATGTGTTTGCGAACTTCTCATGTCTTCGAAATATTTTTCTTATTTCTCAGGCATGCAGGCTTCCTCACGATGTTTTCCTTCACTCCAGAGCACGTGGTAAATCAGCACTTAAAATTGCAATTAGCAATTTCATTGGTGCCGGTGGGTAACATACCCGGTTTGCTCGCGTACTGTGAAATTTACAGTGAGCGTTAACCATCTGAGCTCCCACAGCTAGTCAGACAAAAACGTACAGAAAATTGTGTTAAGTATTTTTTCAAGTTCATAATTCGAGTTTATGTGAAGAAGTAAACCGGCGGTCACAAGTTTTGCAGCAATCTAATAAAACAGAAACAAACATACGAACAATATGCCTTGTTCCGACTGGCCAATTACTTCACCTGGCCGTGTGATACGACATGTGTGCGCTAGTGACACGACGCTATCGACAGATGTCATTATCGATACGCATTCCTATAATTGACCATTATCTCGAAACACCTTTGTTGGAATGAGTATAATTGTAATGCCTCGATAAATAAATAAATAAGAGAATTCGACCTTGATACAGGTATCGATGCATACTTAATAACAGTTATAGTAATAAAATCGATTTTCCATTTTAGTTAAAAACTTGTTTTTCGCTATAAAGGGTATGTACAATATTAAGTATATTATACAGACCCTTTATAGTGAAAAACAAGTTACTGTAAGGGATTATAATTAATTACCATTATAATATTAATTAATTATAATCCCTTACAGTAACAAGGTTAAAAACCTGGGGTTGTATCTTGACTCCTGTATGTCTTGGACCTCACAGGTTAATGAGATCAGTAGAAAAATGTTTGCTGCGTTAACCTCTTTACGTAGATTACGTAATTTTCTTCCCACAGCAACGAAAGTCACGCTCGCCCAGTCTCTACTTCTGCCTATCCTTGATTATGCTGATATTTGCTATCTTGACATTACCGAGGAGCAGCTTAATAATCTTGAGCGCATTCAAAATTTATGCATTAGGTTTATTTTTGGGCTTCGCAAATATGATCATATCTCCGAATTTCGCAAACAGCTCAAATGGCTCCTGATCCGCCTTCGCAGGAATACTCACATTCTCTCCGCGTTGTATAGCGTGCTGTTTAATCCTTTCACTCCATTTATTTAAAAAACCGTTTCCAGTATCTTTCTCTTACCCATAATCGGTTCCTTCGATCCTCGGTCAATCTTTCTCTCTCTCTACACCTTTGCACTCTTCTTTCTTTTTCAAGAAATCCTTCACCGTAACTGCTGTGCGATTGTGGAACTCCTTACCTCTCCATATTCGTCGTGCTAAATCTCTCCATTCTTTCAACAGTCTTGTTACATCGTATTATTTAGAACGCTATTAGTTAAATTACTTTACCTTTCTAGTACTCTT